CATACTTATAAATACATAAAATAACTGTATTTCCCGATTTAAAGATATAGATATATAAACCCACACACTACAAGTACAATTTTATAAAGTCATTTAAATTATTTGAATTCTGTAAACACTTCTTAAAATGGTAAAGAAATGGAATAATCACTATGGAATCTTATTTTTTTTATTCAAGTTTAAAGATACATGATGTCAAATGCAAGACAGCTGAGCTGGTCTGCATCAATTAAAACAAAATATATAAATTTCCAGGCAACAGAATAAATACTTCTGAGGACATTTAAAAAAAAACCAACCCTCTGAAGATTTCACCCTTCCTACTTCTGCATTCTGAGGCTCCCTCATGCAAGTTTAATTTATGCAGTGATGGATATCCTGAGAGATGGAAGCTGTATTATAGACACAGAGATAAAATAATCCCTAAGTGAGAAGAACCAGTTTGGTCTTAATAACACCATACTCAGCACTGCAGGTAAAATCAATTTCATTAACTTTGCCAGTTAGCATAAATATTAGCTTTGCCAGTTAGCATGAATATAACCTTTCTGATTAAAGTACTAGTTTGTCAGAGAATCAGACTCTCCTCATCTGGGTAATAATCCAGTACAATCTAATGACAGTTTTCCTGAGTAAGGAAAATGATCTCTTCATAGAGATTATAGATCCACATCTCTTCCAAAGCGGAGTTGCAACTCTCTGGCCCAAGTTTTTGTGTTTGTGCCAACTTGTCTCTCCTGAACCAAAGGCCAGGTCACATTAAGTTTTTGTTCTTTCCAGCAAGGAGACACCAAGCACCATGAAATATGTTGTATTGTGGGGCCTTTCAAATGAGACCATGGAAACCCAGCTCCTGCTCACCGATGATTTGAAATAACCTAATCCTATGAAATGCTAAACCACTCTGGCAAAGTTCCTGAAATCCCATTCCTCTAGATATCAGCTCTGTGCTATGAGGTACCGTAACTTGCCATGGATGGACCAAGATGGACCATGGTCTCAGAGCGTCTTTTCAAGGCCTCTTGCCCTAGTACAACTGCATCCTAATGTGTGGCATGTTCCTGGGATGCTTCCAGAGAATCTGAGGTGCAAAGGACAGAAGAATTGCAAGGCTCAATCTATCTTCTAGCAAATACAGTGGAAAAAGCCTGCATGGTCTTTATAAAAATAAGATCAGTCTTCTAGAAACCCTGAAGGATTTGTGTCTGGTTTGGTCTTGTATTTCAAACATATTTTTTGCAATAATTCAATATACAGCTCTACACCACAGAGCAAGATCCCAGTTCTTCACAAACACAACTATTGCATGGGAGGCTGAAAGCACTCAATTTTTATCTAAGCCCACCAGCCCTGAGTGCCACTACTCCTTGCAAGATGCACTCTGCACTCAATATAGAAATCCATAAAGATCCTTTCCTATGGAATGGAAGTGCTGCCCCAGCTGCAGGCATAATGCGAAAGTATTTGTGCTCAAAGTAGAAACTGTGTCTTTTTGAAACAAAGCACATTGCTGCTTCAACTAACCCCACCAAAATGAGATTCACAGAGTTCTGCCCCAAGGAGAGAGGACGAGGGAGAATAAATGCAGATGGCAACAATCAATCTCCTCGCTCAATAAGCTACCAAAAAAGTCCTTTGAGATGGCAGCAATAAGGGCAAAGCAAGGCTCCACACAGGTCACAATAGATGTGTGCATAGAAACTTGTGTGTGTGTATTTAAAAAAAAAATCTCTTCTTTTTAGGCTCTTTGTTCAACTACATTATCAAAAAGAGGTTTTAAATACAAACTTATGGGACTACTAAAGAGGTAAATTTATGAATGTATTCCTAACAAAACACACTCTGGAAAGCTTTAATCTATGAATTGTGACAACCTTGGACAAAATGGATTTTTAATAGAATATAATGTAAACTGCCTGAAACATTGTGATAAGGGGTTTTTTTTTAAGTAATGCACAGAAAAGGCATGATGCACTCTGCATGAAAGGAGGAAAGGTCTTAATTTAAAGCATTTTAATGAACACTCAATTTGCGTAGGGAAATGTGAGAAATGGAGATGAGAAACTCATGATAAGAGTAACACTGCAGAGGGGAGAAGGAGAAAGATTAGAAAAGTAAGCAAATTTGAAAAGGCTCCAGCCGATAACGCTGGCTAAAAGGAATGCAGACTGGATTAGGAACATGTCACAGTCCAAAGCCACTGTTCTCCTTGCAGGCAGTGTCTGTCGGTGCCTCTTATCAGAGTTGCACACTGGGGAAGAAAGAGCAACCCAAGTGCAAAGCAGTGGAGAACAGACCTCTCCTCTGAGCTAAGGGCAACGAGGAGACTCAGGGATTTTGGCGAATGCAGCTGTAACTTGCTGGAGTTTCTCACCTTCACCGAACCTCCCAGAGCTGCACCAGCCCTGCCAGCTTGCAGGGCTGCTGGGGCTTGCTGCCCCCTCACAAAGCCCAAGGCAGGTTGTAAAACCATAGCAAACCTGGCCATCTGTTCCTCAGGGAAAACTAACTGGGCTCAGAGACTCAGTCCTGGCTTAACCCACTTCTCTACTACCGGCATAACGTTGCGTAAGTCAGCAGAACTGAAATTACTTCCACGAGAGGAAAAACCGTCTCCCCCGAGGTCGATACAATTCTGTTTACTAATAGCTTCTGCTGTGCAATGAAAGAGATTGATCCAGCACTCTCACTCATACATAAACTGCCTTTAATGAAGCTCCCTGAATTACTAAAAGGAGGAAAAGATTAATCAGGTCTAGTGACAGTTTTGCCACATTGACCTGAACAGAAGCAGGTTCAGGTCTCTGCTCATTTAAACAAAGCAGCAGAACCCCCACATAAACTCTTAACATTCTTCAAAAGAAACAAGGGGGCCACCATTATGACCAAAAAGGCAAATTAAAGCAAAGAACAAAGTTAAATATTTACTCTAAGCACTACAATACTTGCAAATCTGGAAACGATCTTTCAGCAGTTTCTATTTGCATACTTTAATTAATCCAAAAATATTAAACTAATCTCACAAAGGAAAGGGTCAAAGTATTAATTAACTTGAGATTCGTTGCTTTTGTGCAATTTAACAGTTCAACACAAAGCAAAAATCAGTTTTAATAAAAACTAAGTTACTGTGACAGGTATAATTTCATGGATTAGTGAAACCACTTTACAAGGCAATAAGTTTCAGTGTTCATCCTATTTTTTGTCTAACTTTAAAAATAGTTGTTTCATTTCCATAGAGAGATTCCTCTGTAACACCAAATTATCTTAAATTTTCCTTTAACCTCAGCATTTCATTTTCAAATTGATGGCTTTCCACCTTGCTCTGAACAGAACAGAGGTCACAGTTGTTTTAGCAAAAATCCTGACAGGGGCATTCAGCAGAGATCAGATCCTGCACAACCACCCAGAGCAGCCGCCTGAGCCAACGCGGGTGGAGATTTCACCGCTGGTGTGTCACCGTCAGCTCCAGAACAAGCACAACAGTTCCCCTCTGAGCCACTGTCTCTGCTGGCTGAGCTCTTCCCCACCTAAGGGACTCCCTGGCTTCTTCAACAGCTTTTGGAGGAACTGGGAAATCTTGCTGACAAACAAAGGATTTGGAGACAAAGTGTACAGCACCAAACCCAGCTGCCAGAGCGCTGCTTTATCAGCCATGAAACCCCAGCAAAACAGTGATGGAAGGTGGCTTGAATTTCATACATCACAACCTCAGAATTGCAACTTAAGACAAATGTGCTTAAGAAATGAGAGGAAACTTTCCTCTCACCCTCCCCCCCCTTTTTTAAACTTTTAAATAGGGAGGAAGAGTGCATGAAATAGCTAATGAACAGAAAGATTTGCCAGGCATCTCATGCCAGAAAGCTCTGTACTGCACCGCTTGACTTAACCAGAGACACTGAGCAGAGAATCACCTCCCCTCACCTCACCCATCTACAATGCAAATGTCCGTGTCCCACTCAGTCACAGAGCACAAGCAACTTTTTTCTTTACTGGAGAGAAACATGCACTTTTCACTCGCTATTCATCAGGCCTGTTTTACACATCCAAGAGGACTCTCACCTTAACAAAGCCTATTTATTCCTGTTGCTTACAAGCAAACCCACGGATAAATAGCTTTCACCTTCAACATGTATATTGCTGGTACCCAGAGCCAGATGGGACTCATTTGTTTCTCAAATACAGCTTCAGAAATGAACAGAGTAGAAACTCTCTTTGCGCTCCAAACCTCTGAAAACAGTCTTTCTAGGTCTAAAAAATAATATTAACAACCATTTTTCTCCCTTACAGGAGCTTTCAGAAAAAGATGCATGCAAAAGACTCCTCAAATAAAAAAATTGACATAATGTTTTGTAATTTCCTAATTATGACACAATTTCAAGCTAAATTTATGCACTGTGTACTTTAAGTGCAGAGTAACTGCGTGATAATGGATAGAAAAATGCTTGTATTGTAAAATAAAAATTCTGACTAACAATGTAAATTTCTCATTACCTTTGATATAGCTTGTGGAAGCATTACCATAACAAACGTACACAGCATTCCCAGACAGTTCATAGACACTCATAGGTGTTTTGCAGCAATAATGAGTAACACTTAATAGCTATTACTTCCATAGCTTTTCAAATAAAGAAGATAGCATTGTCCTATATTGCTCTCAATTATTCTTCATATTTCTCTATTTTAAGTTAGTTTTTTTTCTGTTGGCTCTTTGGCAACAGGAATTCTCCCGCTGCTCTGAAGGTGCATGAAAAGCAAATGTGAGCCAGGACTAGTTGGCTGCCTCCAGTTTAATTAGATCATCTGCTTCCGAAACTCAGAAGTGCGACAAAAGGAAAAAAAAAAAAAGCTCTCATCAGATCACCTATAGTTTTTTTTCCAAGGAGGCTGAGGAGGAAAAAATACTGCTATTAAAAGAGCAATACAACCCATTAAAGAAGCTGTTGTATGTGTGTCTCAGCATCTGAGCAAGGGTTAATGCACAAAAGCGCTCTGCAGCTTACCTGTCCTCTGCGTTGGGGTCGTTGTGCACACACGTGATGGTGGCAGTGCTCCTCGCGCTGTCCGTCTCTTCTTGAACCCCCCACTGGTCTGCATCACTGACTCTGATGTCCAAAATCTTCACACCCGGGGCTGTCCTAATTCTGTTGGGGAACAACAGGGATTGCTTTAGTTAACAGACCTCCTACAAATAAATCCAGAGAGATAAACAAGGAAGACGACAGGAAATATTCCCTCTCCCGTCAGTTACAGACTGATACATTGCAACTGTAAGTCACTCTGCTTTAAAAATATAGAACAGGTCCAATCATTTTGAAGAGATGAAGTATGAGTTTCATTATGTGCAAAGCCAGTTAATTTTCAGCTTGAACAATGTGGAGAGAATAAGAATGTTTTCTGCTTCAGTGGCACCAGTTTGATAGAAATGGAACAGATGTAAGTAAGCATAAGTTGATTTAATTTGTTGTGTCTGTCCTGCAGTTTAAGATGGAGAACCAGAGAACTATGACATTAAATACATCCTCCTGCTTGCAAATCTTTGGGAACAAGGTGCCTTTTAATGTTAGGGCAATCTGCATGGAAAAAACATGTTTCATTGCTCAAAGACCATAATGCAGGAAGGAGAAAGAAGGAATACATTACCCTAGATCCAGGACTAAGGGATGAAAATAATTATGACACTGTACTGGGATCTAGCAAACTGGGCATGTCAAACTCTTGCTGCTGAAAATGATATGGTGCTGACATGGAAAACCTTGATTTCCCAAGCATGGCTAGAGTGTGAAAGCTGTTTGGTAGTTGGTAAATGTCACCATTTTTTGTTTTTAAAAAAAAAAAATCTAAAAAAAAAAAAGTCCATGCTCCAATGGGGCTCAGTGTTAGAAACATTGCCAAGGAATAGGAAACAAATGGCTTTTAATAGCAGGGACTTCATTTGTGCAGCTTGAATCCTGAAACAAGCCTGGGATTTCAACAGGAGTGCTGCAAATATGCCTGGAGAACAATTAGGCAGAAAGCAACTGCTGTAGTACCACATTCGCCACTACTGTGACTTAATTAATTAAAAGCAAAGTCAAGAGGGACCCCTTAGTTGTATGGTGGAACGAAACAGCACTGCTGAGACCTGAAGCGTTACTTAACAGTGAACTGTGATGGATTTGCCCCAACACCTCATGGCCAGTTGGTGCTCACATTACAATATTAACAATTTCCTTTAAGTTCTAGCTGAGTTCATGGATTTGGATCAAAGTAACTCCAAGACTCAACGGGTGGTCTTTTCCTCTGAGAAGGAATTAATTCATCCTGCTTTTATGATATCCTTATTTTTGCCTGTAAGGCTTTACTGACTTGATGGGCCAAATTCATGCCTGGCATAACCAATCTGATGAGAAATGTTTCCTGTAAGGAGAGAATTTTACTTGATGTTTTTTCTAATTGTCTCCTTCATGATTTTCCACATTCATTCATATCTCCAAACAACAGGCCGAAAAACTTAGCTCCCTCTTTCCTATCATCTCCTCTTCTTTTTTTCAGAGGAACATTCATTTATTCTGTAGTAATTACACTGGACCAAATAATTCCTGCAAGACACCTACACAGCTTTCATTTCAGAGTGACTTGCAATTTACATGAGATAGAGAATTAGGCCTTCAGCAATGGATTCAGTAATTTTTTTCGTTAGACTTAGTCAATCACTCTTGAAAAAAAAAAAAAATCATTAAGGCCTGACAAAAAAAAAAAGAAAACAAACCCAAACCACTTTTAAAATTTTCTCCTTCCCAGCCAAAATTCTATTTTTTAAGAAATTTGTCTTCCCACCACCCCCTCGATATCTTATGTTTTTTCTTTACAATGTGTCTGGAAACCTCTAACTAAACTTTTCACCAAAGTCAAAGCCCTGGATAATTAAAGGTTAATTGAAGGGCAGGAGACACTGGGCAGGCACGACAGCTGCATTTTCACCCATGATTTCAGGACTCCTCAGCCTTTTTCCATCTGTCAGAAGCCTGTTATATCCTCCTCCACAGCTTTTGCAATACAGATAGCTTTGCTCTGCAGCATTTACTGTCTTCTAATCTGATCTGAATGTAGCAGGTCAGTTTAACCCAACAAGGATGAAAAGCAACATGGCACAATCCCCTGGCACGCATGGGCAGGCTTGAACTGTGCAGGACCCCTGTGCAGCTCCCTTCTTCGCTGCTATTCCTCTTCACCTCCATCAGTGGTCCCACACAGCATAGGAGTAAGGCTGCATCAAAAGAAGCATGGCCAGCAGGTCAAGGGAGGTGATTCTCCCCCTCTGCTCTGCTCTCATAACGTCTCACCTGGAGTACAGCGTCCAGTTCTGGAGCCCCCAACACAAGAAAGACATGGACCTGTTAGAACAAGTCCAGAGGAGGCCGCAAGGATGATGCGAGGGCTGGAGCAGCTCTGCTGTGAAGACAGGCTGAGAGAGTTGAGGCTGTTCAGCCTGGAGAAGAGAAGGCTTTGGGGAGACCTTATAGTGGCCTTCCAGTACCTGAAGGGGCTACAAGAAAACTGGGGAGGGACTTTTTACAAGGGCAGGGAGTGACAGGACAAGGGGTGATGGCTTTAAACTGGAAGAGGGTACGTTTAGATTAGACATGAGGAAGAAATTCTTTGGTGTGAGGGTGGTGAGACAGTGTCCCAGGTTGCCCAGAGAAGCTGTGGCTGCTCCTCCCTGGAAGTGTTCAAGGCCAGGTTGGATGAGGCTTTGAGCAACCTGGTCTAGTGGAAGGTGTCCCTGCTGATGGCAGGGGGGTTGG